GAATTGTGCATTTAAAAATTGTGGCTAAGAAATAATTTATTGTTTATGTTTGGTGTGGTCAGAGATAAATTTGGTAAATCCTTCATTTTGAGCTCTGAAAATTAATTAATTCATTAATTTTCTTGTTGGCTTAGTCCCTTTATTAATCCGGGGGTCGCCACAACGGAATGAACCGCCAACTTATCCAGCACGTTTTTACGCAATGGATGCCCTTCCAGCAGCTCTGAAAATGAAAGGAAATAAAAATGAAATAAAAAAAAACAAAATAAAAGCTAATTGTAATACTATGAAACCATGACCTATTTGCTCACGATTATTGAGCAAGGTCATACACCACACAAAAAGTGAAATGAATGAGGAGGCATGTGGAGATAACAGAAAATCTAAATCAAGTAACTTTAGCACGTCATAGTGATATTTATGTGTATAAAATGTATTTTCCCAGCTAAAAATTGTGGCTAGCGAAAATGGCGAGTGGCTAGTAATGTTGGCTGCCACAGTGGCTGATGATCAAAAAAGTTAATGTCAAGCCCTGAAACCCCTAATGCTGGGAAAGACCCACACACACTCTCTCTTTCACACACTCATGACCAATTTTTTTATTTATTTTTTTTTATCAAGTTCAACTATACATAAGTACAGTATTTGGACAGTGGAGGAAACTGGAGAAAACCCATGCGGACATGGGATAACATGCAAACTCGAGACTGCAAGACGACAGTGCTTACCACTGAGCACATAAAAAAGTTACTTAGGATTAATGTTTAAACACTGTGTTTTTAATCATGAGATATGATTGCACAAATGAATGCAATATTTGTACAATATGGAGGATCATTTCATGGTTTTCTACAAAAAGCGGTGCTAAGAAGATCAGGATTGTCTTATTTGTATATTCTATCCACTATAGCCTTCTGAGTATTAATGTAATTGTGTACTGATATATGAAATCAAAAAGCACCCGCCTCTCTGTTCTGTTCCAGCTGACCTTTGCATTCTGTTCAACATTTCCATCTTATTCAGCATCTAGCGTTCAATGATAATTGTAGATCTCCTAGGAAAATTACACAGTGCTTGGCAAATGGCCAAGTGCTGAGTAGCACAAAGATGCTCTTCCAAAACAACGCAATAATAGACAGTTAGAACCTGTCATTTTTATTATTAACAATGCTCAGAAGATTAATTTTTTTTAAAATCTCCTTTGAAATAATTTAAAAAGAAAATAAGGAACGTGGACTCAGGCTAGTATGGGTATCCGTTAGAATGCTGATTTACCCATTACATTAATGAAACTTGTAATTACGTTTAATTCATTCTTTATTCTAAACACCAGTAGCATAAAGTAGAATAATCCTTTAAGCTAAACAAACAGCTTATTTAATATGTTAATCTAATTGGCCAACGCATTTGACCGGAAATAAAACCTTTGACCAATGAATAACCTTTTGCCACGCCCCTACCGGAAAAAAAAACCTTTGACCAATAAAAAACATTTTACTCCGCCCCTACCTTTTGCCACGCCCATTGCTCCAGGCTGCAGTTACCCATACCTCGACTCAGGTGAGTCTTGTGGGACAGAAACGCGGTCTGCCCCCTCAAGGGCACTTTCTGTGAAGACCTTTTTCCGGGACCTTTCTGCCCCGATTTTGGGGCATGGATGGGTTTTAACTATGGGTCAAGTCACACCCCTTTTCTACTGACTGACCAATGCATTGATGGCAAAGTTTTGAGCGGGAGATTTTCCTTGTATCTGGACCGCTGATATGCATAATGAGGGTCTTTAAATTAAAATTGCAGGAGAAACGTAACTGTACTAAACACGACGATTTTCAGAATACATCAATGTCTGTGCGTAGGCAGAAACTTAAGGCAAAGAGCGGGTTCAATCATTCATTTTCTTGTCGGCTTGGTCCCTTTATTAATCCGGGGTGGCCACAGCGGAATGAACCGCCAACTTATACAGCACGTTTTGACGCAGCGGATGCCCTTCCAGCTGCAACCCATCTCTCTCTCTCACACACACACACACACACACACACACACACACACGCACACACGCACACACGCACACACGCACACGCACACACGCACACACACACGCACACACACACGCACACACACACTCAACGGACTAATTTATCCTACCCAATTCACCAGCACCGCATGTCTTTGGACTGTGGGGGAAACCGGAGCACCCGGAGGAAAACCAGAAAACCACATGAGCACAGGGAGAACATGCAAACTCCACACAGAAACATCAACTGAGGCGAGGTTCGAACCAGCAACCTTCTTGCTGTGAGGCAACAGCACTACCTACTGCACCACTGCATTGCACAATAACGGGTTTCCCTCCTTTTGTTTTCTTATCTGCCGTGTTCCTTTGAAGCCCGAAAAAAGAGGGCTAAAGCAATCTGTCAAGTGTCCTGTTAGAATAAAGGTGTCACAGAGTAACAGACTTACTGGCACCAGGGGTTATAATTTCACATAGAAAGGAACCCAGACTCCTTTTTGGGGTCATGATGGAATTTTACCTCCGTACTGTGTGTTACAGTATCGTTTTCTAATTTTTCTTGCTTCTTCTTCATTTAAATCTTGTAGAACATATTTTCTCCTTATTCAACATGGAAAGTATTGTTTTGAACTTGTTTGTAAAACAAACTTATTTGTAAACTGTTTGCTATAGCGTATATGCGGAAGGACTTTTAATTTGTCAGTAACTTGGGTTAAGCACTGGTGAACTGTATGACATAACAAAATCGGCACGCTTAAGGTCAGCGATCTCCAATGGCTGAGTGATATCCGATATAAAGTAGGTCTCAGATTGTACAAGAAGCACTCCATTAAATTAAAATTTTCCCCACCCTGTCTTTAAAATATGAACATTTATTTTACCCCAGTAAATTCAATGGAGCTTCTGCGCTAGCCTGCCAATTCTGACGGGCACGTGGAAGTTAACGGCTTTTCATCTCGTTTTACACTTGAACAACTAAATGAATGCCAAAGTCTATTAAACTGATTGCATTTTAGTTACCGTACAACATCAATGCTGTAAAAAGAACCGTATAAAATGGAAAAAAGTCACATTTACTGTTCACCGGACGTTTAGTATGGGGAGAAACACTAGCTCGGCATATACCCTATTAACTTGAATACCGAATAGTATAGTATTTGTGAGGGGGAGATATGAGATCCAAACATTTACATTCATAGAATTATTAATCACCTGTTTCTAAATGGTCTGTGTCTAAAAGTTAGGGGGAAGTATCCTCCCCGTCCCCCCTGATAGCTACGCGTGTTGAACCGTTGTTTGTAGGGATATAGGAATGACTTTGATTACTTTATTATATTCTCTAAACGAGCACAGAAGATTAAATTTAGCACACACAGTTAAAGTCAAAATTATTAGCCCCCTGCCTGAGTTATTAGCCCCTTGTTTATTTTTTCCTCAATTTCTGTTTAACAGAGAGAACACGTTTTCTAAACATAATAGTTTTAATAACTCATTTCTAATAACTGATTTATTTAATCTTTGTCATGATGACAGTAAATAACAGTTTAAATGTTTTTTAAGACACTTCTATACAGCTTAAAGTGACATTTAAATGCTTAACTAGATTAATTAGGTTAACTAGGCAGGTTAGGGTAATTAGGCAAGTTATTGTATAATGATGGTTTGTTCTGTAGACTATCAAACAAATATATAGCTTAAACGGGCTAATAATATTGACCTCAAATAGCTCTTAAAATTTTTTAATTGCTTTTATTCCAAAATAAAACAAATGAGACTTTCTCCAGAAAAGACAAAATATTATCAGGCATACTGTAAAAATGTCCTTGCTCTGTTAAATATCATTTGAGAAATAAAAAAATAAATAACTGTAAATCACTATAATGTAAAAAATTACCACAATTATCCATCAAATGTGATACAGCCCAAATTCCTTTTTCCATCCAAGACCCTACAAACAAAGATTTTCGATTACAAACAATATAATATATAACATAGTATATAAAATATATATTATTGTGTGGAGTAAAGTTATGTTCAAATAATAGATTCCAGTATCGCAAAACTTGTTGGTGAAAACCTGAAAATTACACAGGCAATTTGCATAAATCATAATCACAGCACAGAAAAAAATCAATACCAACCATTTTCCTGAAAACCGCATTAAGAATGGTGAACCAAAATGAATCCTTTTGACTAAGAAAGCAATTTAACCATTTTAACTTAAGTACCCCACTGATCACAGAGAAATCTATTTGCAGACAAAAGTGAAGAGAGTTAGGGAGTCGTGGAAAAAATTAAAGAGCGGGGCGAAGGTGCATGTGAGGAGGGGGAAATCGGTAAAAGGAGATGCCGGATCAGATTTTAGAGATGCCAGCTTGATCTCACAAGAAAACATGAGTATTTTACGTTTAGTGGCTAATTTGTACAAATTCGTACGAGTTCAGTAATACGAAAATGTATGATTTTAAAAAGGAGGCATGAAACCCAACCCCAACCCTAAACCAAACTGTGATTGGGTGATGAGCAAATATAAATTGTACGAATTAAGCTGCGGTCACACTGGGCTTTTCCTCCCAAAGACTTCCATTCATACGCACGTTTCGAAGGTTGCTGCGGTGCCAAGTTCAAGCTGGGTGAACTCTGACCTGCGAAATCGCATCACTTGACTACGTGAGACCAATCGAGGATCAAAACATGACCTCTCTGGACCGAAATTTAAAATATGGAGCAATCGCTCGCTTTTTAAATATCTAATCATCTTGTTTAATACCGCCCCTTTTCGCAGAGCCGTACGACAGAATTTCGCAAACTCAAACTCTAGTGTGACCGCAGCTTTAGATCGTACGAATTCATACGAATCAGCCACTAAATCAAAAAGTTACGAATTGTCGAGAGATTGCGTTGGAGATGCGAAATCTCTATCCAGCTTATTCCAGCACAAAATTTCTGATTTAAAAAATATATATAGATATTAAAAATGCAAAACAAACAAGGATACCAAAGATTTTATTTCATTATCAGACAAAATTTTAAACAATTCATAATTTGTACCATTGAAAAAACAACACCAACAAACACGTAGTAAACAGAGTTAAATTAAAGGGTTTAAACACAGTCAAGGAATGCAATGATCACCCTAAGATTAGGGTCAGTGCAAATGAAACAAAAAGCATTGGCGATTCGGAATCCTCATAAATGAGAACCATAAGACAGGCATGTCAATCATGTATGAATACGACTACAGTATCTGAAGAGGGCGAAACAAATTGAACTCGAACACAGAATAAGCTTTCAAACAAGTCCACTTAGAGAAATATTGAAAAAGATTACTTGCCTGTTTACAATACAATACAATACTGCTATCCCATTTGTATCTCCTTTAACACTAGAAGAAAAGGATATTTTGCACTAGCACCTCACAAGGCTTTGTGGGTTTATGGGTTTTATGGTAACACATGAATCATATATTAAGTTTTACACAATACAAGTCCTAATCAATACTGACCTCCAGCAGTATCTTGCTAAATATATACAGACAGAGCTATCAAAATGCTTATATTGCATAACAATGCAAAAGAAAGCTTGTAAATCCAGACCGCACGCTGTTGAGAAAAACAGCCACAGTCTGAATAAGTCAATAAGGAATAATAATGGAAAAAAAGATTAATAATAGTGTCCCCAAAGTCAGTGATATGCTTATTACTGTGGATAAATGCATAGGGTTGATTTCTTACCAACTGAAAATTGGCCTGGAAATTTGTATTCAACATGTCTGTGTCACATTTCACTTTAAAACAAATCAAAAAATATCTAAAAATGAAAATTCAGCTCGTGAAATGAACTGCAGAGTGCATAATAATCAAGAAACATATTTTACCTAATATTATTCCCTGCATTATTTACCAAATGATTCATAAGTTTTCATTTCGGGTTTTTCTCTATGCCTTATTATGCTCTTTGTTATTGTGTATCTTAATAATAAATACAAGTTTTTAATTAAAACAAGCGAAAATAAATAACACAAAAATGTATAAAACATTTATAAAGAACTTTAAATATAAATATAACTTTAAAGGAAAGCCAATTATACACCAAAATTACTTTCTTTTGTTTTGAGGTTGAAACGTGATCTGAATACAATCATCCCAGATAAAAAAAAAAGCAAGAAATACCTCCAACTGAATCTTGATATATGATATTTTATAATAGATGTGTCCGTCAGTTGTCATCAAAGCATGATAATACACAATCCAACAGGTCCATGACATCTGAAAATGCCAGCGATTGTCCTGTGGCTCTCCTTTTCATAAACGCTCCGCAATATATTTGTTAACATTCAGCACAACGATCGGCACTACAAGCAAAATCCTCACCGTTCCCGATATAATAGGCTCTCTAAAAACATGCTGTTCTGGAATGATCCAGGATTTGGAATGCAGGCGTTTCGTTCAAGGATTGGAGCTTCCTTAAACCGCTCTTGAGGCTAAAGTGAATTAAGGGTCCCACTAATAAAATAAACAAAAAAATCTTATTAAGACCACTATTATTATTATTAATAATAATTCAATGTTTTTGCTAGAACTACTTTTTATGTTAAATGGTATTGCTAAATATGTATGATTTTATATTTAACTCACACTTGAGACAATTTTTAAGTAATAGCACATCCCTGTTAAAATAGAACTTCAATAATTTTGAGAAATCATAAAAGGACCACTCCATTTTTTTAAATTAGAAATAGGTTCATTTTACAAATCCTCTAGAGTTCCACAGTAGAGTTTTACCATTTTTTAAAATTAATTTAGCCAAACTTATAAATCATAAATCATTCAATCGGATAGGCCATTAGCTCAAAAAACAAAGGTTATGGTAATGTTGATCATTCATATCTAAAGCTTGATGGTACTGTAGTTACATACCAAGACTGAACGAAAAAGAAAATGTACTACTTTCTAGGTGTCTACGCACACTCACTGGCCACTTTATTGGGTACACCTTACTAGTACTGGGTTGGACCCTTTTGCCTTCAGAACTGCCTTAATCCTCCGTGGCAGATTCAACAAGGTACTCGAAATATTATGGTGCATATTGACATAATAGCATCACGCATTTGTTGCAGATGTTGGCTGCACATCCATGATGCGACTCTCCTGTTTCCACCACACACCAAAGGTGTTATATTGAATTGAGATCTGGTGAATGTGAAGGCCATTTAAGTACAGTGAACTCATTGTCATGTTCAAGAAACCAGTCTGAGATGATTTGTGCTTTATGACATGGCGCGTTATCCTGCTGGAAGTAGTACATTGTGGTCATAAAGGGATGGACATGGTCAGCAACACTACTCGGGTAGGCTGTGGTGTTGATAGGATGCTCAATTGGAACAAATGGGCCCAAAGTGTGCCAAGAAAATATTCCCCACAACATTACATCACCAGCCTGAATTGATACAAGGCAAGATGGATTGATGTTTTCATGTTGTTGATGCCATATTCTGACCCTACCATCCGAATGTTGCAGCAGAACTTACGACTATCAGCTTGAACCAGTCTGGCCATTCTCCTCTTAAATCAATAAGGCATTTGCGCCACAGAACTGCCGCTCACTGGACACTTTTCTTTTTTTCGGACCATCCTCTGTAAACCCTAGAGATGGTTGTGTGTAAAAATCCCACTAGATCAGCAGTTTCTGAAATACTCAGACCAGCCCGTCTGGCAACAACAGCAATGCCAAGTTCAAAGTCACTTAAATCACCTTTCTTCCCCATTCTGATGCTGGGTTTGAACTGCAGCAGATCGTCTTGACCATTTCTACATGCCTAAATGCATTGAGTTGCAGCCATGTGACTGGCTGATTAGAAATTTGCCTTAACAAGCAGTTGGACAGTTGTACTTAATAAAGTGGCTGGTCAGATATACTCTCATTCTGGAGAAATAATCAACGGACTTTGTTGCCGGACCATGGCTGCAGCAGGATCAATAATATTATGAGCTGCACCCATGATCTGGCAACAAAGTCCCTTAATTATTGAGCCAGAATGAAAATATTGTTCATTGGTCTTACATACAGTATGTAAAGTATGTTTGATGGTATGCTAAGTTAACATTAAAACAGAATAAACTAATAATGGTAGTCAATCAAAAACAAATAAAGTCATTGGCCAGAAACAAAGTACAATGAATGAACTGTTTTCACAATATATGAATAAGGCAACTACAGTGTACTCTGACCAGACTCATCCCCACCACTTCCTTCAGGGCAGAGATCGTGTACACCATTGACTAAATGAACATGCATAAAAGGAATTCCATTGGCGGTGACTGTTCTAAACCAAATCCTTAGCTGAGGTATGTCTTGCAGATTAGTGTGTGCATATTGTTGTCAAGCTTTAAGTAGGAAAACTATCAAGTTTTTTTTTAAACAAGATGCTAACGGTCTCATAGGATTCAATGATTTATGCTAAGCCAAGCTAAAAGTGCTTCTTCCATACCTGGCTATATGGATTCAAAAATGGTAAAAGTAAATTATTTAACACTAGGTGACACATAAATCAAGCCTACATCCAAAAAAGTGAAGTGTTCATTTAATGTGCATAGTAATAAAATACCAGTATGACTTATATGTCATATCTATAGAGAGAGGGAAGTAGCCCTAGTTACTGTGTTTTAACCACAGGTCACATGTTGTTTTATTTATTAGAGTGTCAAAAACTGTTGTTTTGAAATACTACACATCTTTACACATTCTACATATAATTCTACATATAGCTAGATCGTTTTAGTGGTAGTGTTAGTGCCTTCACCACTAAAATCCATACTCACCGAGTAGTCATCCTCTCCATTGATTACGATTCAGTCCTAATAAGGAGTGAAGATCCATTTTCATCTAAAAAAAATGTTATTAAATAAATGTTGGGAAGGGGGTGAGTCAATCTAGTGTTTAAAATACAAAATACATATATAAAACATACATGTGTGTGTGTGTGTGTGTTTGTGTGTGTGTGTGTGTGTGTATATATATATATATATATATATATATATATATATATATGTTTTTTTTTTTGCAAAAACCTCTAAATCCACCAACAAGGTGGTACAAGAAATTGTAATTAGTTGATTACAATGCAATTAAGATGCAATTAGAGATCATTTTACCAAACATAAAACACAAACCATCAGACATTAAAAATATCTGTTGTCATTTCTGATATTTGGGATTTGGATTTAATGCAAGTAGAGCAATGTAAACAAGCTTGCTAGATTTCAATAATGTAGTGTAAAATCATTGTAAAACATCAATTTCTGTGCATTAGGCCATTACTAAAAAAATAATATAATTTATTGAAGCAATATAAATAATGTATACTTTTATACATTATATTTATCTTTTAAAAAATAGCTTAAATTAGAAAATAAAACACAAGGTAGGCCTACTGTGCAAACAAAGAGGATGTTTCTCAGAAGCTGTCATGTTTTCATCCTCACTAAACTTAAGATCTTAGTTTCTTTTTCGTCTATCGTTTATCCTCATAGTATCCATGCGAAATAAAAGAACGGCATCTTAACCTTATCTTTCTTGAAATGGGGTTTAATGTAGCTATAGTAAATCGGACTCATTCAAAGTAGCGCCACTGCACAACCAAATGTTATGAATGCATACTACACTTCCGACTGTACAGTGCGTTTTCTTTTTCTTATAATGCACAGAGTTTTGAGGTAAGGGACATTTTCATTTGCCATTCACTGACAGTCGAAAAGGCTTATGCAGTTCAACAAAATTCTTCTTTTTGCAAAAAACTAAATCTTATTCTGGAGGTTTTAAATTGCTGGGGTCAAATTGACCCCAGTGGATTACAGTTGTTGGCAGATTTTAGGGTAACAGGAGGGTTAAAATGAGCTGAAACAACACAAATATTGAGTTTTTTTGCAGGGATAACTTAATTGTTTTATGTTTAATACACTTAAATTTGTGACAATTAATAAACTTATCTTAATTCCTTCATGTTGTCCTAACACAAACCGATTGTATGGAACCACACAAGTTCCAGTAGATTGATCCTAGTAAATTGATCCATCAAGGCACAATTGAATTCAGCAGGGTTTTTTTAAATATATATTAAAAAGAAAAAAATGTGAAATTTATCAACATTATAAGTTAGCCCATCTACCCTTAGGTCATGTTGCATGTAACATTATGCTGCTGGGTATTAATTACCATACATCATGCAATGTTTGAGACCATCAAAAAGACACTAGTGATGCAGAAATATGAATGGTCATGCATTAAATCTATTTATATCTATGATTCAGCGGCTTATTTATTTTAAGTGACTTGCAGACTTAGATGCAGACTACCTGCACTTTCTTCATCTGATCCACCATCCTCCACCCATTTCTCCTCATTGGCCAACAATGGATTCTCGGATTCACGCAGGGTCCTCAGTGGGAAATAGTGGCCATCCCCTTGGCTTTAAAACAAGCAGAACACATGGACAATATTTTTACAGACACTAAGGTGACCAGATTAATAAAATGAAAAGGAAGAAACATTACAGAGTTAAGTTGTCAAAATAACACTGACATTTCACTTAGAGTTTTTTTGTGAATTATTATTAATAAAAGATAACAGTAAATATAACCACTGGAAAAGGCAAATCAATCAGAGCAGTGTTATAGCATTATTCTGACTTTTAAACAAACTTATCAGAAAAAAGCATAAATTTAATTGCTTTTATTTGTAGTTTTTAAATTTCCTTTTCATATAAAGGTGCACTTTACATGGTGTGATGGTAGAACATTCTGGGATGTTTCCAATAATGTCTCACATCCTGTTCAAGCTACATACAAAAGTACTACTTTCATTTAAGACTGAATAGTTAGCATGTGACAAACTTGGTACAAATTAATTGTGTAATAGCAAAAGACAATCAGGTAATAAAAGCACCGTTCTGATCCAGGGTTGCATTTTCTGAACAGTAATTACCACATTACACTGAAGATACTAGGTAGCTATGACTGCTTGCTAAACTGTGTTGCACATACTGGGTTCAAACCGCATTGAAAATAACTATTGGAGTTTAATGCCAGCTAATTTCAAGACCAAAATAATGTCGATTATAAATATTGCTGACCAAAATAATTGCTATAAAGTGTAAATAATGAAAATGACATTATTAAACTGAACTGAATCCGTTTTGAACTAACTAGAATTACATTAACATTCTATTATCTTATATGCTAAATATGTGCCACGAACGAAATATCGATTGAAATCGATTGATCATTTTGTGTTTATTCATGTATATCATAAATGCCCATGCACGCTTTATAACCAGAGCTTCAATCCTCTTATCAATTTAAAAGAAATAGAATTATTCATTCATTAATCAATTTTCCTTAGGTTTAGTCTCTTTCAGAGGTCGCCACAGCAGAACGAACTGCCAACTTTCTGGCATACGTTTTACACAGCAGATGTACTTCTAGCTGCAACCCAGTACTGGAAAACACCCAAACGCACTAATTCACACACAATGGCAAAGTTAGTTTATTCATTTCACCTACAGAGCATGTGTTTGGACTGTGGGGAAAACCGTAGACACCGAACCCACGCAAACACGAGGAGAACATGCAAACTCCACACAGAAATGCCAACTGACCCAGCCACGACTTGAACCACTGACCTTCTTGCCGTAAGGCGACAGTGCTAACCACTAATCCACCATGCTGCCGAAATAGAATTAAATGTATATATCTATGAAATAAAATATACTGATTTTAATGAATGTTATTTTACATATTTTTCCTCAAGGATTCCATATTTCATATTAAAGAGAGTTCACATAAAATGCAAATGTATTCACCCTCAAGTGATTTCAAATCTTTAGGATTTTTTTTGTCTGTTGAACACAAAAGAAGTTATTTTGAAGAATGTTAGAAACCTGTAACTATTGACTTTTATAGTAGAATATACAAATAGTATGGAAGTAAATGGTTACAGGTTTAGCTTTTTTATTATTGATATCTTGTTTTGTGTTCAACAGATGAAAGAAACTCAAACAGGTTTGTGGCAAGAAAGTGATGAGTAAATGACAAAACGAAGAGTTCAGATGCAGAAGCCGCTAAACGCAACTTCCGCCAAAAATGAGATGACATTAGCCATGTTTCCATCCAAAAATGTGAATAAACTTTATGCGCAAAACTCGATTATCGCATAAAAGTTGTGCGAATGAAGCATCGTTTCCATCCAACGAGTCAAAGCACACAAAATCGTCCTGATTAACTGGCGCCAAATATCAACAGTAAAAACTGCATTTGCTGCAGTAGGAGAAGCTGCATCAATCTTTTCTAAATGAATGCACCTCAGAAGACAATCCTGACAAGCTGTGAGCGCGCAGTGGCGTTTGAAGGTGTCAGACGCGGAGCACATGCGCTCTTGATTCTGGAGGTCATTAATAATATAATAACACTTGTACTGAAATGGTAAGGCGTTTTATAATGACCAAAACAACATTTTAGATGTTTTATAATGTGCTCAACTTGACGTTTTGTCCATTCACACACATTTTAAGCATCACATGATCTCTTTTAACAAAATCACATGACCTTTTTTAATGCGCATGCTGGAGTTTGTGCGGTAAAAGTGTTTCCATCACAGTTTACGTGCATCTTTTCTTATCGAATAAAAAGTTTTAAAAACTTTTTCATAAACATTTATGCGCATCATGGCGTTTCCATCAACTGTTTTTTTTAAGCGCATTTGCAAAATATAGGTGGATGGAAACATAGCTGTTGAGTGAATGCTTTAAGCACGTAGTACACCATCAACAAATAAATTAGCTTCAAATCATCAAAATCGAAGCGTCAGCGTATTCAGAAATAACAGTTTGTTGGCGAAAGCCTCTAAACGCCATGTGCCCTTGACAGCAAAAGCCACTATATGCCAAGAACCAATCAGAAGGCACGAATCAAATCATATGTTTTCAATGTGGCAGCGTGCTGATACGCTGGCTTCATGAGGAGACTGTTTTATTCCGTCTCCGATTCAGATTTTCAAAGAACTGGATGAACCTGTCTGACTGTCAGTGAATGGCAAGTAAAAATGTTCCTTACCTCAAAACACTCAAAGCATTATAAGAAAAAGAAAACACACTGTACAGTCGGAAATGTAGCATGCATTCATAATGTTTTTATTGCGCAGCGACACTATTTTAAATGATTCACTATACACTAAACGACAACTCCATTTCACAAAAGACGAAGTTAAGATGTTGTTTTTTTATCCCATGTGGATGCTATGAGGATAAACAAGAGACCAAGACCTTGAATATGGTGAGAATGAATGAATGAATGACAGCTTCTAAAAGTGTCTGAGATGCATCCCCTTTTTGCCCAGCTACCTTTTGTTTTATTTGCTAATTTAAGCTATTTTTAAAATATAAATATAATGTATAAAACTATATATTATTTATATAACTTCATAATACCAATCCGTCTGATAAGCTTTTTATATTAATGGACAATGCACAGATATTGATGTTTCACAATGTTTTTACACTACATTATTGGAATTTACCAAGCTTAGTTTACAATGTTTGCATTGCTCTACTTACAATAAATCTAAATCCTAAATATCAGAAATGACAACAGATTGTTAAGATTTAATTAATGTCAGTTTTAATGTTATTGATTAATGCACTTACTTGTCAGATTTCATTTAAACATTTTCATTCTGATTTTTCCCTGGTTTAAATCACAGTGGAATGAACCGCCACTTACTTAACAGATGTATTTTTAATTTCAGATGGTTTGTGTTTTATGTTCGGTAAAATAATCTCTAATTGCATCGTTAGTGATTTTCAACTAATTACAATTTATTGTACCAAAAGGTGGATTTAGAGGTTTTTGCATAAAAAGCTCAAGTGGATTTAGCTGGTTTTGACACAATTTTACCTTGTTAAAAACCAGACTTATCTAAAATGGCGTTTAAAAAAAAAAAGTATTTTATTTACAGGCTAATAACCTTATCAGTACATATAAAATGAAACTTCTAAACCTCATCAGAGGAGCCTAATATAAACTGCTCATTTAAAAGGAAAGAGGTCTGACAGATTTAGAGGGTTTTGCATCTGAACTCTTCAAATGTTTTGTGCGCTTAGTGTCATTAGTTTGATTAGGGTCATTAGTTTTATTTACTTAAAGTGAGTAAACCCACTGCTTTCATAGCAATTAGTTGACTTAACTTAATGTGAGTAAACTCAATGACAGAAATTAAATAAATTAATTATGTGCATAAATAAAAAAAATTGAAAGGGCACCGATGATGAAAATCAACTTTTGTAAGCTGTTTGGACAGAACTGTGTGCAGGTATAGTGTATCCACAGTCATACTGGAGTGATCCAAATTCTAGTGATTTTGAGGCCCACCTCAACGTGACATAGGAGTGTGGTTTTCCCCACCCACCAAATTGATTGACAGGTCCAATGTCTCCATAGTAACATAGTACACATGTCCACAGAACATTTTTTGCAAAGAAACTACAAAAAGTCAACTTAAACCCTTTAAGTCAACTTAATTGTTCCAAGTTACAATGGGTTTACTCACTTTTTTTAAGTAACCAACCACTTCTTACAGAGTGAACTATTTCTTTAAAAAAACTATGCAACAAAGCAAGGCTGTAGTTGCAGAGTTGTAGTTTCACACAAGTTTGTGATACTATTCGCAAATGTTCATAGAAACTATGTATTTGGCAAACAAAGAATCTAACAAAATGGTAACATCAGAAAGTGTGACCATAGTTGGCTAATACTGCTTTTGGGAAATGCACCCCTGGCTAAGTACTTCATAGCGAAAGTAGTGGTGCATGACCAAGTAATCGGAGTAGCTTGTAAGCTCCCTTTGTTAATTTATTAGTTAAATAAAATCACTAGATAATTGCTCAGGAGTGTGTTTTAACAATGACGTAACTCGCGTCTGAACTATCATAGTAATTTAATTTCAGGGTACGCACAAATTCAGCACCGCCCTGCACCTTCCCCCAATCATCTCAAGAAACACTATCATGCCAAACTGTTCTAAGAACACGTCAGTATGGTTACAATTGTTTTTCACTGAGCTTGCAAACGGCGCGGCATGATTACAAACTTTTCTCAGCCCGGAATTCTTGGCATGGTTAGAAAACCGTGCTGAACTGTGCCAACAGATTCTGTGTGTTGACATCGTGGCTCTGTTGCCGAGCTACCACAGCTGGCTCAGCGGAAGCGCGCTAGTCATCAGGCATCCACAAGTGAACTACACTAGATGTATCGTATGGGAAATGAACGATGTAGTGACGAGTGTTTCCCAAAACTCGTAGTTTCTCTGTCGCAGATCCATCGTTTGAACCACGTTAGTTATAAAGTAAAATGCCCATAATGATGCTCTAAACAGGGTGGAGTAACAACTTCTTTAGAGAAGAACCCCATAATTACTTTGTGCAAATTATATTGTTTTACATGCACACGCATTTAAAAAAAATCCAATATTAGTTTTAGTAAAAACCTGGACTCGCTTTCCATATTAATTGAAATATATGTAAGTGGCGCATATAGAACCAATGTTTCCTTTAGAAATATTATTAAGAACATTACATATTCTTTTCTAAAACATAAAATCATTTACAATAGATAACACCTATTCTAATATCATAAATAAATCATATAAATAAATAAATAAATAATGCAGCTATTTATTAAGAAATGAAATGTAATATTTATTATTTATTAGGAAATTAAAAGAAATACTTTAATAATAATATTACTAATATTAATGATGATGACGATTATTATTATTATTAAGTAGGACATTGTTTATTTATTTATTTTAAAAGTCTACTTTTACAATTTGACACACATAAACCACTGCAGAAATGTGCAAACCAACAGGCCCATGCATATACAGTACAGATACTTAATAAATAACCCATGCTATAAACTAAAAGCATTAACGTATGCATTGTTTTTTTGTTTTCACAAGCTTTGGAGACGTAACATAAATGTATATGAAAGGTATAGCTTTCGTCATGAGCCACGACATAACTTTCCAAATGGCATCAATATTTTTAAAGTGCACTGTGAATTAAGCGCAATTGTAAACATGAAGCAAAAATACTTTGAAAGCAAATTACACCTAAGAGAGATGACTTTTTTTATTATTATTTTTAGGGGTTTTCACCCCTATCCTATTTGGATAGGACAGTGGAGATTTTTACAGACAGGAAATGTGGGGAGCAGAGATAGGGGAAGGATCAGCAAAGGACCTCGAGCCGGGAATCGAACTCGGGTCGCCGTGAGCACCTTGGTGCTATGTGTCGACGCACTAACCACTAGGCTATTGGCGCCGACAGAGAGATGACTGTAATGCTTTTCTATTTTTAATCATTCCAAGTTTAAATGTTAGAATGTTCTAAATGAGTAGGGCATAGGGGGGATAACTGGGAATAGAACACAGCCAGGAACTATGTTTCTAACTAAAGCTCCAGAGGTGTGGTTTCAAGCATTGAAGTTTTGCGACGCAGTTTGCGAATGTTCGATGGAACAACAGATTTAGGAAACACCAAACCAACAAACTATGTTTGTAACGACAGAACTTGCGACCTTAGTTGGCTAACGATGTTTTTCGGAAATGCACCCCTGGAAATCAGCTACTAGTCAGGCCTTCTATTACATGTTGAAACACCTTTAGGTAGGAACAGAAGCATATGACTAGGTCACCAAAAATACAGCATACTTCATAGTATAGTTGTTGTTTATGTGAGACATACCACACCACATACCATACCACTGCTGTTATTTAAAAATGTGTATACATTGGTATTTTCATAGTCAGAGTGTAACAAACAGTCATTGAGTGTAACCAGTTGTGACATCAGCTCACCTTGTGAATACTGGAATAAACCAGAGCTTTTTATGCTCCCCAAACACCTGCCGGAGGTTTTTGCTGAGCCCGACATTAAAGCCATTTCTGTCAGGCCCGTTCTGAAACACTGGTGGAGAAAATGCCTCTGGAACAGGAACATTCATAGAGGTTATACAGCTCACTCCACAATTATGAGCCACATAAATGACATCTGCTCACCAATGGTTAAGATAGAACACCAGAGCAAAATGGACTAAACACCAATAAACTGTTTTTAAAATACAATGAAAAATAATCATGGTATGCAGTACAAAAAGAAGGCTTCCTCACCTAACGTTGATCTGTTTTTAGCCACCAGCCAACAGTGGTATCCAAACAGGAACATGAGACTAACAAAAAACATGAGAGCCACAAACAACAGGAAAAGCACATGGAATTTGGCTGGCCCGTTGGGAAGATCACCCTAACAAAAATAAATGCAAAAAAATGCAGGTTTAACAAAATGACAATTGCTTATGTACTCCATATTAACACAAGTAGCTCAAAGTATTATCACGATCAAACCTTGTAAAAACAATTGCGATGCCAGTAAATTATAGTATGAGACTGAGCATAAAAGGGACTTTTTACAAAAAAAAAAAAGTAAAAATAAATATAATAAAAAAATGACTAAATGGCAATAAGCTAGAAAATTTGAAAGCTGTTGTCTCTGATTTGTCAGGCATCGAATATAAAAAAATATATATTTTATCAGACCACTGTTTTAATTGAGTGCTAATAACTAATTTTATTTTATTGCCTTCCCTGGCTTTTAATCTTTATTGTGAATTGTTGTTGTGATACTATAATTCTTATTATTACGTTCATTTTTATTTTACTGTCTTAGAATGTGTGTTTTTGTTTTGTTTTGTTTTGTTCAGCCCTTTGGTCAGGGCCAAACTAAAGTTAAATGTTCTTAAAAATAAACTTTACTTACTAATAACTAGGCCCACACGGAATCTGCGCGTGCAGAATTCCGCAGATTTTCCACAGATTTTCTGCAGAATTCCGCAGATTTCTGTAGATTTTTAGCTCATTATTAATTCTGTTTATTTACTTGAGTAAATGTTTAAATCTGAATTTATTCAGTTTTTATTCAGTAATTTATTACTTTTTATTTAATATATTAAGGTTTTATTTATGATACTCCGCTGGATACTCCCAAAATAATTCCGCAGAAATCCGCAGATTTTTACCAAAATTCTCTGCAGAAATAGCAAAAAATGTCCGCAGATTCTGTCTGGCCCTGCTAATAACAGGTTTCCCGTTCTGTTGTGCACCCATATTTTTACTAATACACAAGGTCAGAGGGCAGGATTTGTAAATGGAATTAAATATTGTACCTCCACAGTTCTTTCATATTAATCTATTAAATGTGTGCTTTGCACTCGAGGAGCAATTTCTCTGATTAAAAATGAGCACATACAACCATTTCTGCAAAACTTTTTACTTACCTACAATATAGATATCAGAGAAAAATCTTATTAAATCAATGCACTCCAAAGCACAATTAAAGATATAAAGTTATAAGTTCCCAATCTTATTTCAGGTCTGGAAATCATTTCTTTTCTATTTGATTCCCTTATATTCACAGGTTTTACATAAATCTAAAGGTTTTATGATTAATAAAAAACTTTACATAAATGAGCTTTAAAGAGGACATATTATACCCCTTTTTACAAGATGTAAAATAAATCTCTGATGTTCCTATTGTGTGTATGTAATCATTTGGCTCAAAATATCCCACGATTCATTTTTTATAACTCTTTGAAACCGCCCCTTTTAGGCTTTCATCTGAACTGTGCCATTTTGGCAACTGTCGCTTTAAACTCAAATGAGATTGTGGTTTTTTCAAAAGAGGGCGGAGCATAGAAGCAGATTCAAAACTCTAATGGCAAACAGCTGCTTCTCACTCAGAGCTGTATATGCTAATGAGTAAGAGATCGCCAATAATAGATAGGGCTTTCACCACTCTGATAACATTTACAAAGAGAAAAATGTTAAAGTGTTTCTAAAGACTGTTTTTATCAAGTCTGAATATAAAAAAATTGAATTAATTAATTTTTACCATTAGACGCTGGCTATATTCACAGAGGCCCAATACTGATACTACCGCTAAGCCCTTCTCCTACCCTTAACCTTCGTTTTGCGTGTTCACGTGAAGAGGTAGGTATGTCCCAATTCTCTTTAGCTTGAAGATGTAGGGCTAAGTGAAAGGGCTAGATACCCCTTCAAACAAAGATATTTTAAGACCATGCTAAGACCAAGTTTTTTTTTTGTCATTATTACGATTTTTTCAACAGACAAGCATATTTTTTTAATACATACATAAGGGCGTTTGTGTTTTAAAATGGTAAAAAAAAAAAAAAAAACACTCAATTTTGGTATCTATAATCCCAGATAACTCCTGTAAAGCAGTCCCACAACATTCCGTCGTTCTATGACACTTGGGAACAAAAAACGAAAAGGGATTGGGCCAGAGTGTCACCACATAACTAAACCCCTTATGAAATTGATTTTTGCATAATAGGTCCCCTTTAAAGATCATTTTGGCCTTGCTGAAACTCACCACCCAGAACTTGAGGAAATACTGAAACACTGTCGATGCGATGAACACACAGTAGATCATGGAGTAAGACAGGAACAGTAGAAAGAACTTGTAGTTGGAGAACCCGACACAGTTGTTTACCCTTAAGAGTACATAAGAAAAAGATAAGTAAGAAAACAAAATGATTATGTACTCTATATTAACACATAAAGAGAGCTCAAAGAATTATCACAATCAAACCTTGTCAGAAAAGCGTAATGGCAGTAAATTATACACTGAGCAGCCACTTTATGATGCGAATCTCCCGTTCTACCACATCCCAAAGGTGCTCTATTGGATTGAGTTCAGGTAACTGTGTAGGCTATTTGAGTACAGTGAACTCATTGTCATGTTCAAGAAACCAGTCTGAGAAGATTTGCGCTTTATCCTTCTGGAAGTAGCCATCAGAAGATGGGTACACTGTGGTCATAAAGGGATAGACATGGTCAGCAACAATACTCAGGTAGGCTGTGGCATTGACATGATTCTCAATTGGTACCAATAGCTCAAAGTGTGCCAAGAAAATATCCCCCACACCATTTCACCACTACCAACAGCCTGAACCACTGATACAAGGCAGGATGGATCCATGCTTTCATGTTGTTAATGCCAAATTCTGACCTAACCATCTGCAGAAATCGAGACTCATCAGACCAGGCAACGTTTTTCCAATCTTCTATTGTCCAATTTTGGTGAACCTGTGTGAATTGTAGCTTAAATTTCCTGTTCTTAGCTAACAGGACTGGCACTCGGTGTGGTCTTCTGCTGTTGTAGCCCATCTGCCTTAAGGTCTGTTGCGTTCAGAGTTGCTCTTCTGCATACCCCGGATGCAACGAGTGGTTATTTGAGTTACTTTTGCCTTTCTATCAGCTCAAACCAGTCTGGCCATTCTCCTCTGACATCAACAAGGCATTTGTGCCCACAGAACTGTCACTCACTGGATATTTTCTCTTTTTTCGGACTATTCTCTATAAACCCAGAGATGGTTGTGGGTGAAAATCCCAGTGGATCAGCAGTTTATACTCAGACCGGCTCATCTGGCATCAATAACCATGCCACCTTCAAAGTCATGTAATTCAATTTCTTCTCGATTCTGATGCTCGGTTTGAACTGCAGCAGATTGTCTTGACCATGTCTACATGCCTAAATGCATTGAGTTGCTGCCATGTGATTGGCTGATTAGGAATTTGTGTTAACGAGCAGTTGGACAGGTGTACATAATCAAGTGGCCGGTGAGTGTGATTTTTAAGTTGTCTTTGATTGATCAAGCAACAAACATTTTATCTGACCAATGTTTTTAAATGAGCCCTAAATAACTGGGTTTCTATTCTGTAGTGATCATCAGATGGACATTTTACTAATACACAAGACCATAGAGGAGGATTTGAAAATGGAGGTGAATATTGTTCATCCAAAGAAAAAGACATCAAATATCCAACAAGGTTTTGGTCATCATGAGTTAAAAGTAAATGAACAGCAACAAAGGACTTAAATCATAATATAATAATATTCTCCATTTACCATGGACAGTGGTGATCCATCTTCAAAACACATCTATAAAAAAACAAACAGGAACATAAAACCATTAAATGAGACACAGCAAAATCAGGTTGTGTTGTCTGACTAAATACTGCAACTTTAATTAAAATAAAGGCTTTGTGTAAAGAGATCTATTTTCAGGAACAGGGGTTGGTGCAGTGCTTGACTTACGTTTCACAGACGGAACAGTGGTGACAACGGTCCGGCTTTATCACCTGACAACGATCACAGAACCTGATAGCTGAAGACATGGAGATAAAGAAGATCAGCTGTCCATGTTTACATCCGATCGCATGTTTAACTGGCAAACATTGCCATTCAAAGCATTCTGCAAAAATGACTACATCTTTGCAGCTGCTGTGGAAATGTACACAACCATGACAGATGGCTGGGGCATCATAGCTACTGCCCTCATTACTGCCAATTACATCTTGTGTTCCACGTACCTCCTGACTGAGCACGTGTGAAGATGGGAAGTTTCTTGGCGATATCAACAAGAATCTGCTTCTGAACCTCTGGTCTCTCCTCCATCTCATATCGCTCTTTATCAGTGTATGACAAGTGAAACTAGAGCACAGAGAAGAAAAATGCTTAGCAGACATATTCTGTATGAAGAAACCGAAACCTGATATTGAAAAACGATCAGTTTTTTTTGCAATGTCACATTTTCAAGACAGTTGAAAATGTTGTTAACACTTTATGGTCCATAAGTAATGTATTTACTTAAATAAACCATGTATAAATAATCTTGTAAAGCATTCATTAAACATAGTTCAACATTAAGCAATCTATTATTAAGATTATTTTAAATTTACCTTAAATAAGATTACCAAACATGAATAAATATCTTAATGTAATATTAATAGTTTGTTCATGCTAGTAAATATAATAACTCTCATTAATTAAAGGACCATTATTTGAAAGTGTTACCAAAATGCATTTCAGATACATATTACTTTTAAATATTTTCAGTGTTTGCATTTTGCTGGACAACAACAGAAAATCAAGTTATTTATTATTAACTGTTTTAAGAGAATGCATTTTGCATTTAAATTACCAAAAAAAGCTTTAAATATAATAATTTTTTAACTAAACGATACAATAATTTTCTTAGACAGTACAAATAGGACTACTGAATATAGCTTATCAATGTTTTTGGCTAGATGCAAGTAAATCATGTAACATTCTGCAGGATCTTAAAAGGATAGTTCACCCAAAACTGGAAATCATCTGTCACCATTCACTCACCCTAAACTTGTTTTAAACCTGTTTGACTTTCTTTCTTCTGTTCAACAGAACAGAAGGTATTTTGAAGAAACCAGCTTTTCAACCAGATTTTCAGCTTATATTTACTCCCAAAATATCTTCTTTAGTGTTCAACAGAATGAAGAATCTAATAAATTAGAGGATTTGAGGGTGCATACATTTTCACATTTTGATTGAATTATCCTTTTAATCTGCCCATGGTTGGATTCATTTTATTAAACAAATTAAATAATCTTCTTTGGTGATTAATACAAAACTACAATATAGTATAGAATACTACAAAATAAATTTTCAATATACTGATTAGACCACTGGTCTGACTTACAAAATATATTTTCAATATATGTTCAGATATTGCTGTAAATTTACAGTAATATTTGGGTATTTAGCAATTTATGCAAATATTTTGCAAACTAGTAGTGCGATCTGAACCAAAGTGGCATAATTGCGTATAATAGATTCAGAATAACAGATGTTAGGAAAACAAAAACAAAGAACAAGTAGACATTTCCATTCAGGTTTACCACAATAGCCAAACGTTTGAAGTGTTTACAAAAATCTCTATAATCATTGGACAAAATGAGATCACCAAACTTGAATACAAGCTCAATCAGAGGTCACTGTAAAAAAAAAAAGAAAAAAAGTAGTGGGGTTTGACCACATGGTGGCGCTACAAAATAGAAATAAATCATTGAAGCAACCGAGGGACCACTGGTCTGACTTACTCAAAAATCGGCATGCAGTGTATCGGTCCAAGATGGCACCCGAGCCAGAACACAGCAATACTGCATTTAACTTAAGTGTAAGCGGCAGTATATTGTAAAACATTTCGCACATCCTAAACAGAAACTAAGATATTTGAGTAAATCGGGGGAGCGCATATAAAAAAGCATGACAATGTTTAAAAGATTCAACCAATTGGTTACACTACAACTGTTAAAAAGGTTGAAAATCTTGTTTTGCTATGTCGATTGGCTTAAACGTATTTTTTGTTGTATTTTTCACAGTTTGCACTAGTTACAAATGTACTAAAGAATAAATACTACATTTGCCTTAAATAGCTGAAACCTTGATAATTGCTTGCAGCTATATTTCTCTTAATTTATTGAATATACCTCACAGAAATAAAATATTGTTATCAGACTTTTATTATTTTCATGTTCATTCTTGTAAACCAAAGAAATAAAGATGACTATTGTGCCACGTGTACAATATTACTGCAGAAAACGTTGTTTGGGTTTTTTATGGTCTGCTGAAAATAATTAGTTTATTCCAATAAATTGCCCTTGAATGTGTAATGCATGACCTGTGAGAAGGGTTATGCCACCTCAATTTTTAAAAGCAACTGTTTACAGTTTAACAGAAGTTATTCCCATAATAAATACAAAGCACCATTAGTTGTAGAAATTCTTTTGGATAAACACAGAACTTGAGATATCAAATCATAAGCACCTTTTTAGTCGGTGTAGATGGTGGAGTAAAGATGGCCTTCCAATATGTCCAACAGAACATTATAAAGCACACATGGAATATCAACAAATAGGTCACTGTGGAAAAAATGACACATTGCAGGTCGTCAACAGTAATTCCCATCAACAGTGAAGTTAAACACTGAACTAGAATCTCTAGAAAAGAACAGATATTTACATACTTAGTCAACTAAGATGCCTCAATATATCATTTTCACGTAGTTTTAGTCAACTAAGATGCCTTAATATAATTTTTAACTTAGTTTTAGCCAACTAGGATGCCTTTATATATCATTTTCACATAGTTTTAGCCAACTAAGATGCCTAATGTATCATTTTTACACAGTTTTAGTCAACTAAGATGCCTTAATATAACTTTTAACTTAGTTTTAGTCAACTGAGATGCTTTAATATATAATTTTCACTTAGTTTTAGCCAACTAATATGCCTTAATGTATCATTTCACATAGTTTTAGTCAACTAAGACGCCTTGATACATAATTTTCACATAGTTTTAGTCAACCAAGATGCCTAAATGTATAATTTTCACTTAGTTTTAGTCATCTAAGATGCCTTAATAAATAATTTTCACTTCGTTTTTAATTCCTTCTTTCTTTTTTTAAATCAAAAATCATATTCAGAATATCAAGTAGACAAATCATTGTCTAATATGCAATGGCAAAGTGAAGCTAAAATTACAATAGTCATAAGATGCCTTTATATATCATTTTCACTTATTTTTAGTCAACTAAGATGCCTTAATATATCATTTTTACTTTGTCAACTAAGATTCCTTAATATATCATTTTCACATAGTTTTAGTCAACTAAGATGCCTTAATATATAATTTTCACATAGTTTTAGTCAACTAAGATGCCTTAATAAATAATTTTTACTTCGTTTTTAATTCCTTCTTTCTTTTTTAAATCCAAAATCATATTCAGAATATCAAGTGGACAAAATATTGTCTAATATGCAATGGCAAAGTGAAGCTAAAATTCCAATAGATCACTTACCCCTCTCCAGATTATTGCTGAGAGTAACTGAAAACAGATAATCAGGGTCAATGTCGTGAAATATGATGAAAGTCATAATATATATTATATCAAATGCTGTTTAGTCTAGGTAGGCAGCTCACTGAGCTTTGAAACACAGACCATGTTAACAATCCTCTCTTAGAGGTATTTAAACGGTATTGGAAAGATAAACAAAAGCAACCTCATATATTTAGTGTAATAACAACAAAAATATTATACATTTGCGAATATTTGCGGATTACACTTGACACTTCCTTATTACAGGCGAACAACAAACATTAGTTCCATTAAACAAACACAATATCAACAGAGAAATCTTACCAAAGCACAATTCAAAGACATACGCATAATAGGACCAGAGAACCACAGATGAAATTATGATGACTGGAATCCAGGAAAAAATCCTTTGACAACATCTGAGTGCTCTCGACAGAGCCATGATCAGTCCGATCGGACATCTGCTAGTAAGACTGCCTATCCAAACAACAATCTCTCTGACATCAGCTAAAACCCCTGGCAAATAACCAAACAGCGATCTACTCTGGCATCCGCTAGTACGCCTGCGTGACAGCAAAACCGTAGCATGTTTGTTCAGTTTACATTGTTCAATACAATGTTAGTTAATGTTAGTATTATTATTGTTATGATTTTGCAAATGTGAAGAAAAAACACGTATCAGTTCTGTGAGAAATGTTGGAATGTTGCATTCAGGATATGAAATACAGAGTCATTATCACTATAATGTGCATTTGATGTCCCACAAGATTGAATCAGTTCTATATGAACATGAAATAATGCGAAATAATGAAATTCTGATGTTTTATTGTGTTTAGTTAAAACTTTACACACATGCAGGAAGAATTCTAAGTGTTATAATACGTTTTTGTCAATTTTTGCCAAAAATTCTTTAATTAATTCATTGATTCATTTATTCTCATACACTTTTCCGGGGCCGGATCGTAGTCTTAGGAGAGAACCCCAAACTTCCCTTTCACCAGACACTACCTCCAGCTCCACCGAGGGGATCCCGAGGCGTTCCCAGCCCAGCTGAGGGACATTGTACCTTCAACATGTTCTGGGTCTTCCACTGAACTAGTCTGGAACACCTCCTAAGGTAGGCATCCAGGAGGCATCCGAAACAGATGCCCAAGCCACCTCAGCTGACTTTTCTCAATGTGGAGGAGCAGCGGCTCTACTCCAAGCTCCTCCTGGGTGACAGATCTCCTCATCCTATGTAAAGCGGGTGCGCCCTGCCACCCTGTGAAGGAAACTCATTTTGGCTGCTAGTATTCGAGATCTTGTCCTTTCAGTCATGACCCAAAGCTCATGACCATGGTGAGAGAAGGAACATAGATTGACTGGTTAATCGAGAGCTTTGTCTTTCGGCTCAGCTCCTTCTTTACCACAACAGACTGATACATCGACCGCATTACTGCAGCCGCTGCACCAATCCACCTGCCAATCTCACGCTCCATCCTTCCCTCACTCGTGAACAAAACCCCAAGATACTTAAACTCCTACACCTGGGACTTTTCTTTAACCTGGAGATGGCACCACCTCTTTCTGGTGGAGCAGGGACTGATTCTCATCCCAGTCGCGTCACACTCGGCAGCAAACCGCCCCAGTGCATGCTAACGGTCCATGTTCGATGAAGCCAACAGAACAACATTGTCTGCGAATTACAGAGATGATATCCTGTGGTCCCCGAACCGGACCCCCTCCAGCCCAAGGCTGCACTTTGAAATTCTGTCCATAAAATTTATGAACAGAATTGGTGACAAAGGGCAGCCCTGCCTGTCTCTCATTAAATGAATGTGATTTTTCCATGTCCCACACACTGCTCAGCCTTTTTAGTCTAAAAAGTAGGCAAATTAGATCAAATTAAAATGATTTTTAAATATTCTTATTGTCTTTAATAAGTTATTTGATAAAATAAGTTATTTTGATAACTTTTATTTTGTTTTTATGATATTATTAATCATTTTGCACGTGTCCTTGAGATTGCTGTCCACCCTGTCATGATGTGGTTAATGCCCCTTTAAGAAACCCTCTGATGTACTCATTGGCATCCCCAAGCCCATTTTGCTGTTCTTCAGAGGAGGTTAAAACATCTGCTGTGCACACGTAAGTATCTACACTTATGCTTCTTATTTTTCCTCATATTTTGTTTGAAATTGAATGTTGTCAAGCTTAACATGTCCACCCTGTCATAGTGACATATTGTACAAAGAGCTTAAATAGGGAAACATTTTGCGAGCTACAGGTACAACCAATCTGTGTTCAATAAATGCTATCTTTAGCCAAAAATGTCCTCCCTGTCATTGTCAACCCTGTCACAAATCCTTCCTTGACAGGGTGGACATATTTATTTATTTATTTATTTAATATTTTATTGTTAATACGTTTTTTAGTTTTTTTTATGTTACAACATATATACACACACATACTGATGCAATACCTGAGTGGACAATACAAGCCTTTTGGCAAAATCTGTCTCAGTCTATGTAAAGGATTTCCTTTTAAAGTCATAATGGAGCTCCTTGACTGTTTAAAATAAAAATACATGCCAATGTCCACCCTGTCTTGTTTTCCACCATTATGCTCAACTTTTATGAAAATAAACTAATTATTTATGAACTCAGCAAAAAATCTTGTGTGATTTCTTAATTAATCAATAAGAGCCAGTTAATATTGTTTGAAAGTTTGACAAAATATTTTAGATCTTCGGTTGTATTTTGAAAAGAACGTGCAACGATTGCATATTTTATTGGCAAATAAATATTTTGTCCATTATTTCATTAATATGAATAGACATTTTCAATAATCTATAAAGTTGCGTTGGTAAAGGGGCACATTACCTTTCTGAAAATACATTTTATAATCACACTGCAATGAAAATAAACGTATTACTTTGAATTTGTCCCTGACAGGGTTGACACAATTTGAGGTTTGTTTACTGTTTGTCTGCTTGCATTTCAATTCTATGAAGAGCTGGGACTTAACCAACATTAATTTCCTAAAGCCTATATAATTAATACAACAACTATGTGGTTAAATCAAAAATCTCAAACTTTTTTTTATTTTTTTTTAAATTCTGACGTCTCAAAGGCACTTTATAGTGATAATGAGCCAGCTCATCAAGTTAACTTTTCTTTGTGTATGTGTAAAATATTCTTAAACTTTTTCATTTTTATTTATTTTATTATTATTATTACAGCAGGTGACATGGTGGCTTAGGGGTTAGCAGAAAGAAAGTCGCTGATTCGAGTCCCAGCTGGGTCAGTTGGCATTTCTGTGTTGAGTTTGCATGTTCTCCCTATGTTGGCATTGGTTTCCTCCGGGTGCTCTGTTTACCATACAGTCCAAGGACATGTGCTATAGGTGAACTGAAGAAACTAAATTGGCCATAGTGTATGTGTGAATGCGAGAGTATATATGGCTATTTTACATTGTTTGGTTGCAGCTGGAAGGGCATCCGCTGTGTAAAACATATGCTGTGTTGTAAAAAAATAAATGTGTAAAAAAGAAGAGAAGAACCCAGTCCAGGATACTCGAAACAAGCAGAATTCCTTTATTGAGACGTGTTGGTTAATCTGCAGTCATACAGCGCCTTTAAGATGTCCATGTGTCTGCAAGAGCCTACTAGAGGTCCGCAGTCTGCAAGTTCTTTCACGAGTCTCTCACAAGTCTCTCACAAGTCTAAATTAAGACAAAGATGTCCTGTCTATATTGTCCTTTTAGGAGGAGGGGATATGGCTAAACAAAGCATGCAAATTAAGAGTTGTGGTCGGCAGGGTAAACTGCTTTTTCAGGCCTGGTCTCATGTTCTGGAAACAGAAACCGCCTGACCAGTTGATCGAAAAGAGAAAACAATAGACACAACCATGCTGTGAAACTGACAATTTGCATTACTTTGGCTTAGCCTGTAGTCAGAAAGACAAAAGGTTAATGTTCCTCCTACCTGGGATGTTAATGAAATGATATAATTAAAACCGGAGAATATAACTTTTTAGTTATACGTAGATTATTGTTCATTTAAAATTAGATGATATAAATTTATATTTCCACAGCTGGAACATAAGTTCATTCCACTGTGGCAACCCATGATAAGCTGAAGGAACATGAATAAATGAATGAATAAATACAGCAGAAAATTTTCAAGACTAGAAAATCTAAAGGTAAATAAGATATTAATATATATATTACAGTATTTGTAATATTTTGCCTGAGGCATTCAGTTTTAAATAACTTTTTATATGAACAACTGCTTCCTAAACTGATTTGTAATAATCTTCAAATGGTCAAAACGTATTTAATTCATTTATCCTGTAAAACAATCCATTTACCCTAAATGGAAACAATTTAATCAATTATTCAGCCTGCTTTCCACATCATGCCCTATGCCTTCTCAATATAAAAAAAAACAGGCACTTTAGTTTCCGTGCTTATTTGTGCTAAATATGTAAATATTTTATGTAACACTAGATCCACAGCGTAAATTTCAACCCACTTCATTTGTTTATTATGCAGCAAGCAGTTGCAGAGAGTTACACTATTACAACTTTACAAGGATTATAATATTGGTTGGGTTTCTGTTTATTGCTCTAGTTGATATTAGACGTTCTGAATGTTAAATGAGCAGTAATATTTCCATTATTATGGAAATAAAATGTTTAATGTCTTCATATTGTCTTGTTAAATATTAGTCTAACTTAATAGAATTACTTCATCAATAATCACTTAATCTATTCTCCATATAACAAGTTAGCATTTTATCTGTCATAAATTTTCAAGTAAAATATCCTCATTGATTAACTTAGAAGCCTTGTGGTTCAGTTCTGTCTTTGTAAATTGGATGTGTATATTCCTTATATCGTAATAGCTCATAATTTTCCTCTATTTTAAAAACAATCCCTCTTTTTTCTTTATTCACTAATATTATCTAGACTAGGGGTGCCAAAACTTTTTTGTATGAAGGGCCAAAAGACAAATATCGTTTAGAGCTATGGGCCGAAGGAAAATATACCAAACTATACATTAAAGTTGCCATGGGTAATTTCCTAATTTATTTCATAATATTTCAAAATAAATAGAAACCATTATTTTAAATCGTATGAATAATGCAGTATAACTTTTTAAATGATAACTTATTGCCATAGAAACATAAACAATCGCATTTATAACACAGTGGAGTTCAATGATGAAAAAAATTAGTTAGGCAGAACCTGCCTTTGACTTGATTTGCTCACCAAAGTCTCTGGATTGTCACATGACAGTATAAAATCAGATTCATTTACACCATTTAATCGAAACGTTTATTTTAGTTACTTTTAACAATAAAACAAACAAAGGATTACAATAAATTTGAAACTATTCCTGTCATATTCCATCCCTTCTTAGTTGGGCTGGCAGGCTAAATCAAAAGTTACCATGGGACAACTTTGGCCCCCAT